CGCAGCAGGTGAGGAATCTCGCATGCTCTATGCCTACGATGTGATTAATGGTTTTGCTGCTTATTTATCACCTGAGGAAGTGAAGGCAATGGAAAAGATTCCTGGATTCTACTTGGCCAAAGGTGGTGGATTGGGTTCGAACAAAAAAATGGGATTCCAGAAAGGTAAAGGTGTGATTACGACAGTATCAATGAGTGAATCAATGAGGAAAGCAAGGTCTCATAGCAAAACACAGGAGGCAAATTTAGGTGAAGAAACCAACAGCAGCAACTGAAATTGAAATTGCGTGCAAGGCCGTTTTATTTAAAATAAATTGTGTTTTTAAATAAATCGTGTTAGTTTTACTTTAAATAAATTGTGCTAGTTAATTAAACATGGTTATTATGTTATAAAATTGAGGAAATGGGACTTTTGCTTTGTATTAAAAGGGTGTATGTGCATATACAACCCTTGTGTGATGGACAAAGGATCTATGTAATCTGATCATTTTAGTGAGATCTGTTGAAATCGTTCAACTGCTTTGCTCATCTCCGTCTTAATTGTCATTTTTCCTTATCCCCAATTGTATTTTCATTTTTATTTATACTAGTTTTTGCCCGTGTTATTTTGATGGTAATGTTAGTGTGTTAAATTATTGTGAATTACATTTTTGAATGTTAGATATGGGTAATTTAAATCATCTAAGTTGAATCATTAGCATTATATTCAACTGTTTGTTAATAGTAAAACTGGACCGCTTACACCCCTAACCAGAATGACCTAGATTAAAATAAGAAAGGAAAGTCCAGAACACAAAATCAATTCTCGAGTAAACAACCAGAAACATAATTTTAGTAGTTTTCTTCGGACATCATATAAAGCCTTTCCAGTTTGTTATTTTAATCAAAACTTAGCAATCAATCACTTTTGCATTGATTTGTAAGTTTGTCATACCTTCCTATCGTAGCCATACCAAAGAAGGTGCTGCTTTGACTAGTGAACAGGTAAACGGAAAGTTGAATAACAAACAAAAAGTATTGGTCCAAGCTGGATAACAAACAAAAAGTATTGGTCATACCCTTCCTATTGTATTGTATTCAAATTAAGTATCCGAATTCATGCTTCTTAGAACTGCACCACGCTGATAATATCAATACAGTAAAAAATGATCATTAAACGCCAAGAATTAAGGAAAAAACATACCTTCTTCTTTGCAGCAGTAAACTCTTTTTTTATTGCTCCTACATTAATGCAAGCACAAAGTCAGATATAAAGCTCATACAAGAGCCTGAAGACTCTTTAACCCTGTTTTCCTTCTTCAGTTCAGTAATTTCAATTCCAAAAATTTAATATAATATAGAAAAAAGATATTTGACAGTTTAAAGCATGCTAAACATATATATTCACCACAATGAATCAAAAGTGATGACAATTTATCATGACAATAGAATATTTACCTAAAGTTTTTAGCAATAAGGCAAGCATTTGTAGTTGAGTAATCTCCACTAATTACAACAAGCTTATCTAAATCAAGCTTAAGAGCTAAAGAGCTATTTCTTCAGCTTGCTTAAACTCAAATGAGTTCACGCAACGTTGCCAATGATCTAAAATATTATAAAAGAGAGAAGTAGATTAAAACTAAGAGTCTGATATGGTTGGTAATGATCTAGCTTCACTGGATCTTCAAGAAAATGTAGAGATGAATTAGATGGAACAAAAACAATTATGCAGTAGATTCCAAATTATTAGAATAAGGTTTAGTTGTTTGTTGTCAGAATTATACACAGAAAAGGTATTTTTCATCCATATATTCCAATAGGCAGAGCACAGAGTTATATAGGAGAAGAGATGCTCCTAATTTTGGATAATACAAATCTGTAGCTAATTGATTGATTGTACACATAATTGACTAAATCTATTCACTTAAAATGATATGATTATATATGATTTTGTTTCCAGAAAAGATTTTTAACAGCTCACGCCAACATTTGTTGTTAAAAAAAAAATATTTGCCAAACTTTCAATTTGA